AAAATTGAGATTTTTTTTAAAAACTGCTTTAGTTAGAAAGAAGGATACCAATGATAAAATTATATACTTGCCCTTTTTAAATTAGAGGCTTTGCTTATTCAACTATAGTCCCTGGACCAGGAGCATCAGCCTTACTCCAGATCTACTAAATCTGAATTTTCACAGGATTCCCAACAGATTCTATGAAAAGCTCTGATCTAGGCAGACTTCACCTAAAAGCTAAGGCTTCAATATAGTTGAACCTTTTAAAAGAAAATAAAAAATAAAACACCTCAACAAGAGCAGAAGGAGAATCTGAAACTGAGTTTAGAGATCTGCCTGATCCTAGGAACATTCATAGGAAAGAGGAAAAGCCTCCCAGTGACAAGAGATCCAGGTGCTTTCTCCTGTCCATCCACTCTGGGCTGCCATGCACAGCTACCTATGCTGCACTGTCACTAAATGACTCCAGGAGGCACCCGTCATAAGAATCACCATCAGAATGGCACTCCTGGAATTGTACAACATAGCAGACTCCTACCCAGCTCTACCCTAGAGACTTCATATAGATTCATGAACTCATGGAGGGAGGCTTGGAAAAACAGTGGGGGTAGATGGATAAAAAAGTAAAAAATAATATGATTTCACTTTTACGTGGAATTTAGGAAACAAAACAGATGAACATATGGGGGGGGGAGAAAAAAGAGAGAGGGAAATAAACCTAAGAGACTCTTAAAGATAGAGAACAAACTGAGGGTTGACAGGGGGAGGTGGGTGGGAGATGGGCTAGATGGGTGATGGGCCTTGAGGAGGGCACTTGTGATGAGCACTGGGTGTTGTATGTAGTGATGAATCACTGAATTCTACTCCTGAAACCAATACTGCATTGTATGTTAACTAATTAGAAAGCAAATAAAAATTTGAAAAGAAAAAAAGTAAAGGATAGTTTTTTGATGTCTGGAGGTTTTTTTATTCTTGTATTTGTACAAGGGAGCTGATGGGTTATCGCCTGGTTTTTTGTTTGTTTGTTCTGTTAATGAACTAGAATCTGTCAATGCTGACAGAATCAGTTTAAATAGGTGAAATGAACTCTGGATAAAATTACTAAAATCCTTTTGGAGTTAATACTAAATGTTAATATTTAATAAACATGCACAGTTTGGGTTGACTACTGGAAATGCCTCCATATTGTCTTTCACAATTAGTAACAGACGGTTTTTTATACCAGCAATTCTAGCCACATTTTGCAAACACAGAGGCCATATGAAAATAAAGAAAAAGCATAACGTCAAAGCTCCATCTCCTAAAGTACCCCAAGTTCCCTTTTGAGAATGAGCCAAAATCACAGAACAAACACATGCAGGTGGCCATCCCCAGCTCACCATAGCATTTCTGCTTTGGAGCCCACCTGTCTTTCTCCCTCCTCTTATCCTGCTGTGGGCTTCATAGCACAGACCACTAGCCAAGTACATGACATGGGTTTTGTTACTGCTGTTGTTATTCATTTAATTATTATCTGATTCTCTCACTAGAATATAAATTTGACTATGGTAGGGAGTTTGTCCAACTGATCCTTGAATGTCCCTCCAGCACCCAGACAATGACCGGCACCAAGGAACCACTCTATAGACATTTGTAAAAGGAATGAATAAAAACAGACTGCCCTCGAGCTACTAATAAACAAGGTTCTCTTTGGTCACTGTTTGTTAATTTTGTATTTTTTTGTCCTTCAATCATAGACTTGGATGTTAATCAAATATCTCCAGTAGTTTTGTTTCATCTTCCACTAGGTAATTCCTGGGTTTGTCATGTAGTTCTGAGTAGGAACTTTCATGATAACTTCTGACACCACTTCAGACTCTAAGCAAATTGCTTCTTCCTATAATGCATCTGCTTCTCACTTTCATTAGCTGCAGTAATATTCTAATCACTCGGTACTGCAGTCTCAGAGAGAGGAAGAGGGAGAGTTCCAGAAAGCAGTTGTTTTTCTCTTCTTTATAGAAAGGCGCTTGAGAGCAAAAGTGCTGCAAAATAAACTCTCGTTGGTACAGCCACAAAAAACTGCAACCCTTTGAAATGTTCTGCAAAGAAGCAAGGGCATTTCTGGGAATGTGCGAGAAGGAGAGCCCAGTGCAATCTCATAGGACTCCCAAGCCTGATTTCATAGGCAACGCTTCGGCAGAATCGACAATGGAACAGATTGTGGGAAGGCAAAAAGGTTTCCAGAGATATGAGATGAGTGACACGGAACACATCAATCAACACACTTAATACTCAGGGTTGGAAACAATTGGTGGTTGTACTCAGTTTCCCAATGGGATCTTGGGCAACTCAATTAACCTTTTTCTCCCACATTCTTATCACTTATAAATTGAGTACAATGATCTACCTAGCAGAGATTGCATAAGTATTTTGTGATAAATGTGAGTAGATAGCTATATATGTGAGACGTAATATTATTATGTTAACTAGTATAAAACCATCGGGTACAAGGGACTCCAGAGGTCAATGTAGACCTTTCACATGGGACCACAATTAAACCATTCCACAAGGATTAGACCCTAATCCTTTTAAAAAGGTGTCTGTATAATGGGATTCCCAGAAAACTCCCCTTTGTCAACGATGCTTCCTTAAATCCAAGATGTCCCAATCCTGCAGTATTACTATACTGTGCTCTTGCCTCTTCAGTAACCATATCACAGTAGCACCCAGGTAATAGGGTATGGATCCTGGAGTCAGGTTGACTTAAATTCCACTGGACTCTCCTCTGTGCTGGCCACATGACTTTGAACAAGCTACAGCCTTAAATTTTCAAAGCCACCATTTCTTCTCCTCTAATATAGCTGCCTTCCTAACCCCATAAGGTACCATAGCTACATGAAAAACAAGTAAGTCCCTTCACCTAGTGTGTGTACCAAATCAACAGTAGCATTATTTTCTGGCTCAATAACCCTAGTCACTCTAATTTTTATTTACAACTTGACTTTACAGATGTTAATCATTTTTGTTTCTCTTTTCTGATCCCTCTTCAAATTCCCTACTTTTCACTTTTAATAGGGTGTCCAAAATTATAGGAAGAGGCTAACTATGCTGAGTGGCCTGGGAAGATTTCTTCTTGATTTCTCCCAAAATCAGAGGGGGAAGGCTGTGTGGTGTGTGCCTTGGGAAGGCACTGGGACGCTTAGCAATAAAGATTCCTGTATTTCAGAAGTGGCTGTGGAAACGGAGCCATGAGAGTTAAGGAACCACAGAGAGTTTAGGCAATGCATATGTGGGTAGAAATCAGTGTATTTAGAGAGTGAAGATCTTTCCCCTAATTTCTGGGCACTGGGTAACTTCCCTGGAGCCTGGTGCATCCCAGGGAACGGGGGATTACCTCTATAATGTTCCTGAATACCTGAGTATTTGGACTGAGATTTATTACAGTCGAGGCTTTACAATTTACCAAGAACGTTCACACTCCTAACCTCTTTTGATCTCGGCAAAAAGCCTGTGTGAAGGGTAATTATCCCTATTCTAATGTTGTGAATGCAAAGGCTCAGAGAGCTTAAATGTCTGACCCGGGGTCTCTATATTCTAAATCTACATACTTCCTATTATGTCATAGGACTCACTATGTTAAAATCTTTTAACTTAACCTTGAAATCCATCATTTCCATGTGAGAGTATATTCCAATGTAACATTGGATGTTCTAGGATACAAAATTAAATCTGCAGTATACTTAACAGTTACGTGGTAAAAATAAAAACTCAAACTTATGCACAGGAAAAGACTTGGATATATTACAGCAAAATGGTAAAGGCAATTACCCAAGTGGTAGATGGTGGTAGATGATGGACAGATTGTCTTTCTGCTTCTTCTACATTTAAAGTTTCCTTTAATGAACATATGTTATGCTCACAATGAAAAATATGAGTATTGATTTTTTTGTCAGGTAGCTTGAGAGTCAAATAATCTACCCAACTGCAAGGCAACTTCATGTAGGAGCAGAGAGGGGCCTTCCCTACTTCCCCCCAAAATTACATATATCTCCCCTTCGCCTCCTCAACCACTCATAGATGATCCAGCTATTGAGTCAAATTATTCACGATGGCATCAATTCTCTGTAGATGATATACTAAGGCAATGGCAGGAATCACTTCTAAATTTTGACAGAAGTCCAGATTTTGCCCTGACGGGGCCAATTCATATTTAGAGTAGCAAATTAGAAGAAATAATAACTGGAATTCTACAATGAGCACTGGGCCTTTCTTAGCTACTCATACTGTCTCTCAAATAATTCCTGTCTGGAACTTCTTAGCATGTAACTTTTGAGACAGTCGGGTAAATGGAACCAGCTCTTTAAGATCATCTATTATTCACCAAGGGAAGGAGAACATGAGTGGGGTCTCCTTTGCATGTCAGTCTTCTGCTCCATTCACAAGCATCCTGGAACTGTTCTCACACGAAAACAAAGGTCTTCTGGCTTTGGTCCTACCTCCCAGGATCTCTCAAGAGCAAAGCCCAGAAGCTACCTAACATTTCCTCAAATCATGCTTCCTCACCTTCACAAAGTCCAGTGTTCTCCAAGTAAAACTGGGCTCTGCACTGGGACAGGCACATGCCAGAGGTGATATTCGCCCCAGAGAGCCGCTCAACTTGCAGTCCTTCATCAGGCTTCTTACACTGGGCACAGTGAGAGGGTTCTGGACCCACACAAGTGAGGCAAGAGGAATGACAGGCTGCAAATAAGAATAAAATGCAGAAAACAATCCAAGGGTCATATATATGTTGCAACCAAGGGGAGTCCCTAGTTAAATCTAAACCACGTTGAAGAATTCACCAGATACAGCCCATCAGAAAATTGCTTTCTAGTGTTCTATACACAGCACAGGGTGATAATATTCGTGAGAGGCACAGTGAGGGTAATGTTAACTGGTCACATCTCTCAGGTTCTGTAAGAGCTGCCAAGCCAAAGTGTGAAAAAAACTCAGCAAACTGGACAATATTGGCTTGGTTCTCCAGATACACATTCACTGAATGATGTTTTAATATCATGGCCTCAGTTTTTATTGAAAAGTTTAAGAAGCACCCATACAAAGGCCATGACTGTATTTTTTGCAAAGATAGCTGTTGCATTATTGTCCAATGTGTCATCCATCACCCACGTTATAGGCGTCCAGTCAACAGATTTTTCCTAGAACTTATGTGAGGAAAGACTGCTTTTCCAGAGCAGGAAGAGTCCCCTGTGGAGGAGCAGCAAGAATTTGACAGTCCATCACAGTTGCTTGTTTTCCTTGACTACTGGTTGAAATCAGAGGCAGACAGAGTATTGGGACTATTTCATGCCCACATTTTGATATAATCAACTCTTTACAATAGTTCTTTGATAATACTAAACTTTGATATAGTTAACTCTAGTTCAGAATATTTATTGCAGTTGCCCTGTTTTAAATATATTTTTCTTGTAATGATTCTCAAACTCTTTTCCAAGATGCCCTACCAAATAAGTAAACATAAATTAATTTCACTTAATTGAAGTATTTGCTCCCAATGTTCTAGTTTATTTTTTTTTTTAATGTTTTATTTATTTCTGAGAGACAGACAGAGACAGAATGATCAGGGGAGGGTCAGAGAGAGAAAGAGAGGGAGATACAGAATCCGAAGCAGGCTCCAGGCTCTGAGCTAGCTGCCAGCACAGAGCCCAACGTGGGGCTTGAACCCACGAACCGTAAGATCATGATATGTTCTGAGCCGAAGTCAGACGCCCAACCGACTGAGCCACCCAGGCGCCCCCCAATGTTCTAGTTTCAAAAGGCAATGATCCCACCCTCACAATGAACCCAAAGTCTTGTTGGCAAACAGCTATTAAAGAGTTTCCATTTCACTCAGCCAGAAGCATTACTACTGCTACTGAGCAAACTCAGTTTGCTCTGCTTTATCATTAACAAAAAAAGTTTTTCAGGGAAAAACAAAATGAAAACCAAAACCAACCAAACAAACAAAAAAACCCCACTAGCAATGCTAAGAGAACAAGAAAAATGAGGAAGAGTTTGGTTTCATCTTAATATACGGTAAAGGAAACGACAGTCCTCTCAAAGACAGCCAGAAAAATCACAAACTTTTGGGTGTCATCACAAATATTCCAATGTTAATTTTTTCAGAGCATCCCTTGGCAATGAAAAAAAAAGCATATAATGTATGCATAGCCATATAAGATACACTGTAGGGAAAAGTGCATTGAAAAGTAACTTAAATCTTTATCCTTGTGATGGGAAAGTCTCCTAAGAATGAAGAGGAAACCAACATTACCTCTGCAGACCCCATGGTCAGGGTAGAAGCCTTCTCCACAGCTGGACAGGCAGTGGCCTTGGCGCAGAGCCTGGGGCTGGATGCAGGCTGTGCAGTGAGAGGCCATGGGTCCGGAGCAGCTGGCACATGAATGATGACAAACTGAGGAAGAGAGCGAGAGAGAACCATGGGACCCAGGACTAGAGAACTTCCTTCTTACCTGGGCTCCTTTTGTGCAGGCCTTCTGGGTCACTCTTAATCTCCTTCAACTGTCACACCAAATCAAGGGGAAAGATATATGAGGACGAGGGGTTATATTACCAGAACTGCCCACAGTGCCCCTTTATCCATCCATGTTCTATTATTTATTAGCTACCTTTTATTTAGTACTTATATTCAATGTTTTATACACATTGCTGCATTTAATCTTCATAGCAATTTTGAGGGTTTGCAGATAAGAAAGCTGAAGTCTTGGGAGGTTAAAAAATTTGCCTAAGATGACAGAGCTAATGAGCAGTAGAGCTAGGATTTAGCCCTAGGTCTATCTGAACCTAAAACCCTGAGCCTGAATAGGGAAGAGTGGTAAGTTTTATCTGTCCAAGTGCTAGAAGCACTAGAATTTTGGCTGACTTGTCCACTAACTTATCTATGCCCTTAGCCAAGTCAGGGTCTCTCCAGGCCTAGGTTTCTTGGCACATGCACAGTGAGGCTGGACTGACTGGTCATTTAAGATACTTCTAGGCCTGACATTACAAAATTTTAAGAATTATAGTAAACAATCTGACCATTACATATGACAAATGTCAGACATGCAGCTTTGCTGCTGTGGTCCTGGGTGGTAGCAGTGGGACATCTCTGACTCTAAGTTACAAATATCACCATGGCCTATCCTAGGGGACAGGATTGAGATACAAAAAGCCTCCAGAATAATGGGCACGAGCTGGGAAAGAGGAGTGTGGAAGTGGATGAGACACTTGGGTGCAGGATGTTGCAGAAAAGGAATAAACACTGGGTGACTAAAGAGGTTGACAGACAAGAGGGAGGTTGATAAGTTAAGGCTATGGGACAGACCTAAATATTCTGCCACTAACCCACACTACAGGTAGAAGTGAAAATATTTATGCTTGTTTTGGAGGAGAGGGACAATCAAGGTATCCCAGGCAGCAATAAGTTCCCAGAGTTGCCTGTAAGGAAAGACACAAGTCAAGCATATATAAGTAGAAACTTATAAAGTCTAAAACAGAAATGTTTCATTGTTAAAGTTGTATGAATCTGGAAGAAACAATACATAGAGCATATAAGATCAAATTTTCAATAGATACAGATGTCAGCTTTAGAAGCCATCAAACTTCGTTTTTTATTGTATTTTTGTGGTGTGTCATAGTTGCCAATATATGTATTTGTAAATGCCATCTAATATATGATCCTGTAATACCTACAGCCTAAGTTAGTGAGGGTTTATAAGTACACAAGGACTATATGAATATCTTAAAGATGTTCTTAGCATTGAAAAGGACCAAATGATCTCTAATGATGATTGGTATGCATAAGTACTTTACTTAATCACTCAAGTCCCCCATTGCCCATCCACATCACCCTCTCCCACATCAAATACATACAAGCTCTATAATGAAAAAGCTATTCCTTTTAATTTGACATTTTCTCATCATACACACAAATTCCCAAATGAGCAGCAAGTATTGTCAGGTGTGTTAAACACTTTTTGATGATGACAATGATGACGACAATGATTATCCATGTCTTACCTTTGCATCTGCCAGTGACCTCAGCATAGTACCCATCAGGGCATTCAGCAATGCATTTCCCATCATGCAACACTGTCTTCTCAGCACAGGTAAGACATCTGGGGCTATTGGGACCACAACTCTTACAGGATTGATCACAAGCTAAGGGGGAGGGAAACCCACCAGAGACAGTCAATAGTGAACACAGGGAATAGAGAAGTCTATTCTTTACAATGTCCACAGTTGGTATTAACATAGCAATCACATTCTCTGGCTGCTCAGCTAAGTTCCATTTCCTTGACTCCAACGTTTCAAAGTACTCTGTACTTTCTGTTTTCATAGTTGAAGTAGAACCAGATAATTATTCACTGAACTAACTATAACACAGCTAGTAGGCACAACTACCAGGGTATCCAGTTTAATATAGGATTTAAAGTCAACAAGACCTTGAGGGTGGGGATGCCAGTCCAATTGGAGATGAAGATATTCTCAAACTCATTAATAATAAGAAAAATGCAAATTAAAATGGGATGTCCTGGTATATCTATTAACCAGAAAAAAAACTGAAGCTTGATGATAATGCCACATGGTGGCAAGGATGTGCACATGAGACAAACTTCACACTTAAGAGTACAGAAGCTGGTAAGCCACCTGGCACTACTTAGTCTCATAAGGGATATGCAGAAATAAGAAACCAACAATTCTTCCAGATTACCCATCCCAGGGTACCTTCCACACAGGTTCATAAAAGGAAGTTTGAGGCTGTTCACTGGTGCTCTCTAGTGACAGCATGGGGATGGGTGGAGTGGGTGGTCCCTCATGGACAGTACATGGGTGAGCTAGGGGGGATGCAGACCAAGACTACTTTGTAGCAAAGAGAAGCAAAGGGCTAGATGAGAAAACAACATGGCTGACTCATAAACCATGATGCTGAGTGAAAAAGAACAACATGAACTCTATGACACAATCATTTAAGGGGGATAAAAAAGTAAATACACTCAAAAGAATATCCATTTTACATGAGACCATAAAAACAAAGACATATAATTAAAATAGTTTTCTTGGTGAGGAAGGGAAATGAATACAAAAGGAAGGAAAGAGAGAAACAAAAGGAGAGGAGGAAGGAAGAGAGAATGGCTAACAGAAACCTCTGAACTTACTTTGATTTATTATGTTAGCTAGAGCCAGAAAAGCCCTTCATAATAGCACAAGTACTTAAAAGACTAAAGAATGAGGAGGTTTTTGTCCTTTGAATTTCCCCACCCTTTATATCTAACATTTGCAAAACTCAAAGTATGAACCGCCAATGAACTTGCATGTTGTAAATTCTTTCAGCCAGGGCATACCACTGTTTATGACAGGTTGTGCTGGATTTTTCTTAGCACTTGACTTTGATATTTCTACAGATATGGGCTGCTCAGTTATAAATTATTAAACCAACACCAGCCGGTCTTTATCTTGAATAGCACTGAACTGAACTGGAAATAAGTCAGCATTATCAGCATCAGACATTTTAATTAACATTCCGATACCAATCAGTGACTTGGTTCACTGATGTTTGAGAAAATATTTATACAAACGCTTCTGAAAGCATTTCATACAAACTTAGGGAACGCTAAGAATTTTATAAAAAGTGTAAACTCCAGTCTTTATCAAAAGGCCTGTTGGTCAATGTCAATGCTATCACAAAGTCTTGCATTATGCTAAGCAAATGGCAGGTGTTCAGTAATTACCTGTTGATTAATTGACTGGTTGGCTGACTAACATCAGCAATGGTCCATCCTCGTATCTAAAAGATATTTTTTTCTGATCCTTTGTTTCAAATGTATACAGAAAGCATTCCAGATTTATGTTCCCTTCCTAAGCCACCTGTTCAATAGACTTTTTTAGTTCTTCCAGTCAGCAAGGAGCTCTGGCTTTCTTCATCCAACTTCTCAGCTCAAGTAGATTTCCACCCCTCACTGTCTCAAGGTTCACACTAATCCCTCTTTTTTTTTTCAAGGCTTCCTTTTAAATACCTGCTTCCCCTGAAAACACTGCTTTCTCAATCCAGATAACATCATCTCAGCAGCAAGTCAGTGTCACCACCCCTCATCAGTGACAGTAGCCAGCCTCCGTGGGGACTTACAGGCTAAATGCCCTTGGATTAGTGCAAATTTGATATCTGCTGACCTTTACAGAAGCATCTGGCTTAATTGAGCAGGAAAGTGATTCTGGCAGAAAAAGATTAAAATGCTCAGGCTAATGGCAGCCTGGCCCTTCTTTCCTTGTTCTCTCCTGAATCTACACTAAAGCCACCTGTGACTCATCCACATCACGTGAGATTTTTCACACCAGTGATGCTGATGGATCTCTGCACAGCTTTAAGCTAGCAGCTGCCAGGGGCTATCTCTCTTCCCTAAGACAAGTGGATTTGTCAAGTCCAAATATCATCTCATTTTTGTTGTTGCCCTGCTCACTAAACAAAGCGAGGACAATAATTCAAGAAAGTTTTATGGGCTGTACATTTTTATTGATTTAGGGGACTTTGTTAAAAAAAAAAAGTCATCATAGCGTTTCTGTAGGTACGACCATCACAGTAAACTCAATTCAAATGTTTCATTCACTGTCGGGTGCCTACCTGTGGACTTGGCAATGTCCACAGGACAGTAGCTGATCTAAAGACTGATAGGAAGACAGGGAGAAAGGGGGAGAAAAGGATCACAGGAGACAATAATGAGAAGGAGAAGGAAGGGAAAAATAGCAGAGGTGCATAGGAAGGTATCTTATTATAGCCAATAGAGCACTTGGGAGGCAAATAAAATCTAAAGCCAGAAGACCTAGGGTTGAGTCTCAACTCTGCCTCTTATTAGCTATATGTGATCTTAAGCGAGTTTCTTAACTTCTCTGTCTCCTCTGGAACATGAGGATGGTAAAAATAACCATCTCCCAGGCGCCTGGGTGGCTCAGTCGGTTAAGCTTCCAGCTTCGGCTCAGGTCATGATCTCACAGTTCGTGAGTTCAAGCCCCTCGTCGGGCTCTGTGCTGACTGCCAGCTCAGAGCCTGGAGCCTATTTCAGATTCTGTATCTCCCTCTCTCTCTGACCCTTTCCTGCTCACACACACACTCTCTCTCTCAGAAATAAATAAAACATTAAAAATTAGAAAAAAATAACCATCTCCCAAAACTGTTATGAAGAACAGACACCAAACACAGCACTTAATCTGTGCCAAGCACTGTGCTAAATGTCTGCCTGTATCAATTCAGTCCTCCCAATAGCCTTCTGAGCTGGATGTGTGTTAGTTTCCTGCTGCTGCTGTGACAAATTACCACAAACTCAGTGGCTTAAGACAACACAGATTTATTATTTTACAGCTTTAGAGGTCAGAAGTCCTAAAGCCAAGGCGTCAGCAGGACCACATTCCCTCTGGAAGCCCTAGGGGCAGATCCATTGCCTTGTCTCTTCCCAGATTCTAGAGGCTGCCTGCATGCCCACTGCCGCGTCTTGGCATTGCCCTGACTGCTGCTTCTGTCTCAGATCTCCTAATCAGACTTCCACCTTTCTGTCTCCCTCCTCTAAGGACCATTGCAGTTAACTGGCCCACCTGGATAATCCAGGATCATCTCCTCATTTCAGGATCCTTAATTTAATCACACCTAGAGAGTCCCTTCTGCCATTGAAGGCAGCATAGTCACAAGTTCTGGGTATTGGGACATAGACATCTTTGAGGGGCCATTATTCTGTCTACCACAGCTGCTACTATTACCCCCATTCTACAAAAGGGAAACTGACACATGGAGAGATTATGTAACTGCCCACGGTCACGCTCTTCCCTCCATATTTTCTTGCCTTTCAGTGGGTTAATGTTTATAAAGCACTTGGAAAGAAACACTAGTCTGGGTTAACTCTTACTGTCATGCTGTGGGCATTAAAGGTAGAATACACTGTAACTCCTTCAGCTAAATCAGGGGCCCAGCACAAAGGTGGGTCTGCCTTTGGCTGGCCTAAGAATGTCTTTATCTTTATGCATATGTGGAAGACAGTCTGGTGCCGTTGAAGAGTTTCAAACTTGGAGGAAGGAAGCCCTGTTCCTCTCCCTACAGCTGGGAGTCTGGAGCATGCAGCCTGAGTCTCACTCAGGCTAGAATGAACATCCCAACCTAACAAGCTGTTGAGGAATGGGGGTGTTAAAGGAGACCCTATCAGTGTTTAGTAAACTACGAAAACACTGTCAATGTTAGTAGCCATTTGCATATTTGTTGACTAAAAGAAATGTTCTGATTTGAATAGAACAAGGGATGCTGGAAGAAAGAAAAAAAAAAAATGTCTGGCATGCAAAGCCGGGCACTTACCACTGCAGATCCCCTGCTTGTTGTAGAACCCAAGACCACAGCTGCTCTCACAGCTGCCCTCCCTCAGCACTTGGAGGGGGTCTCTGCAGCCCAAGCAGTGCTTCTCTGTCGGACCCCAGCAGGCAGAACAGGACTCATGGCAGACTGCAGGCAAAGAGCAAAATCAGTGTACAATCTATAGTGGAAAGGGCTGGTTGCAATTTTTCTTTCAAAGATTTTAGAATTTACACAGAGGATGCTGGTGCCTTCACTCCTAAATCGCTATGCACATATGGATACCCCAGGAGAAAAAAAACACCCCCCACCAAAAATAACTATTTCTGTTGGCCAGAAGTACAACTTCCATAAATTACTGCTAGGAGATTTGGAACAGGAAATCAGAGACTTTTGAGTAATGAGAATCACAGGGAAGGGAATCATAATTTTGGAGGCAAAGATGGTCTGTTTAATGAAATCAGATGGCTCTTAATCACCTTGCTACCTTGCCTTTTGTAACCGTACAATGAACTGTTGACAGGATCACTGCTCCTATGTCCAACACCATCAAGAATCAGTAAGGAGGGATGCCATCTACTCTTCTCCTTGATTAGACCTTAAAAGAACTGGTACTTCTAGATTTTTACTCCTCTCTCCCCTCTTTCCATCCCCCTCTTCTCTCTCTCTCTGTCTCAGCCCCACCCTTTCCTTCCGTCCTTTGTCATTACTCTTTTAGACTCTCGAGTGTCTGGTTTGCCCCACTAGCATCTGCTCTCGGCATGTCCCTTGAGGTATTTCTCTTACAAGTTAACTTTCTAACCATACATTGTTCCTAAGCCAGAGTTGTTTCTTTAACACTCAAAAAATGTACTTCTCAGGGTACGTTGGGTTGGTGGCTCAGTTGGTTAAGCATCAGTGTCCACCTCTTGATTTCAGCTCAGGTCATGATGTCATGGTTTGTGGGATTGAGCCCCATGCTTGGGATCCTCTCTCTCCCTCTCTCTGCCCCATCCCTTGCTCTCTCTCTCCCTCTCAAAATAAATAAATATTTTTTAAAATGTCCTCTTCTTCTAGCATTTGATTTTATTACTATTCAGGGTTGCTTCTCAACTTAGCATGTCTGCAAAGAGAGGCCTATTCTAAATGACTGGATATACTTAAATTCAGTTAACCATCTGTATGGCTAACCCCAATGTATGCTTCCATTAATGCACCCTAAGTTTCAAAATGTTTGCTTCACAGTGGAGCACAATCTATTTCAATTACGGACTCTACTCATTCCGACCAAAATTGGTACAGGGAATTCCTCTGCTGCTTGGAAGAGACTTGGGAACTATATACCTAAGTAATTTAATTAAGTATCCCTTTAGAAGCAGAAAAGAGTGCCTGCATTGAAAATCTCAAGATCCAATCCTCTCATCTCAGCTCTCAATTGCACAAGAAAGCCTTAATTTCAGACAACTTTTCTCCCCCAACAAATTTAGAGATAATTGCAAATTTTGTTAAATGCCAAGCAGGACTCTTCAATAAAGAATAACAGTGGTATGGGTAGAAGGGGCCAACTTTCGGTGGATCTGAATGATGAGAAGTGGCCAGCCCTAGGCTTGCACCAACAAAGCCCTTGAAAATGGAAGGAGTTTGGAGGTTCAAAGAACTGAAGGCTGCACCTATGACTGAAGCTAGTGGACACAGTGAGACCAGCAGGGCACAGAGGGGCACAGTGAGGAATGGTGGGGCACAGCAGACTGATTCATGGCTAGAGGGATAGGTAGAGGCCCAATCAAACTTGACCTTGGAGATCATGGAAAGAAATTAGGATTTTACCCTAATTGTAATATGAAGTCATGAATGGGATTAAGCAAGATAGACACAAACCCTGATTTTTAAAGCTCTCTTTTCTGCCACATAGAAAGGGTTTAAGGACATGCCTGCCAACACAGAGACCAGTGTGGAGTCCACTGCTCTGGTCCAGGCAAGAGATGACAATAGCAGATGAAAAGTAGAGAGGGAAGAAAGTTTACTTATTTATTATCTGGTTCCCTTGCTGTTAAGCTTCATGAGGGCAAAATTCATTTCCATTTAGTTTAACTCTATGCTGAGGACACTCCTTAGTACTCTACACTTACATTTAACATCTCATTTATATTTTATAACTGTTATATGGAAACACTGTTAATATTAGGATAAGTTAGGGGCACCTGGGTAGTTCAGTCAGTGAAGCCTCCGACTTTGGCTCATGATCTCGCATTCACGAGTTTGAGCCCTGTATCAGGCTCTGTGCTGACAGCTCAGAGCCTGGAGCCTGCTTCAGATTCTGTGTGTGTCTCTCTCTCTCTACTCTCCCCTGCTTGCACTCTGTCTCTGTCTCTCTCTCTCTCAAAAATAAATAAACATTAAATTTTTTTAAATATTTCGATAAGCTACTAAAACTACATTATAACTAAAGATGTGGATGCAAAGGTCCCAGTAACAAGTTTTACCATGAACATACATGAAATCTGTCCATCTTCATTTATTCAGCTACCCTTCAATTACGGACTCTACTCATCATCTGAAGTGCCAATCACTATTTGTGCTTCTGCCTTACTGTTGATTCAAAGCCATTATCTAAAACTAAACAACAACAACAAAAACAAAAAAGCAAACAAAAAACCCAATTTCATTCCTAAGAAAGTATGCCAGGCTGATCTATCAATGTTCAGCAGAAGCATCTACCACATGCAAGGCGCTGTGCTAGCCTGTCGGGCCTTCCCAGCTAGCCACAGGTCAGAAGTCTGCCAGAGAAAACATTTAAACCACCAATCACTTGAGCTCATTGGTAGTAGCACTGTGCAAACTGCACCAGGGAGCAAGTGCGTGAGAGGACGATGGGAAGTAAGACTAAAAAAACAACAGGGACCAAATCACAAATGCCAGGCAAGCCAGGTAAGGACCTTGGACTTCATCTGTAAAAGTTTTAATCAATTTTGCTTCTGAGAGAGTTTGCTCTGCAATGGGGAGAGGAGAGGGTAATTAGCTCAAAATATTCTTGAGGAACGAAATCATCTTTGTCCAAGAGATGCAGAGGAGATGAGAAATTAAAGCACAACTCCCTAGTTCTCTTTGGGAATTGGCTGATGGCAGTGTAGACCCTTAGCTGCACTGGCTTTTAAAATCGTAAAAAATACTTCCAACCTGGTTGGTAAATGGCTGTCATCCTGGTCTCTCCCTGATATAGTCTGGTTCCATCCCTGGGACCCCTGCAAGACACTGTGCTCCAGCACCTGAAAATTCCTGGCATAAGAAAGGGTCCAGGTCCCCCCCTCCTTCTGACCAATCTGATCCATGCCATACTACTTGTTACATATTTTTAACATTATCCCTAGTGTTGCCAATCAGAACAGGGCCAAAGGATGAGCAGAATGGAGGCTACAGGCTTAGGGACGGCACTTAGGCCTGTCACAAACTGAGCTGTACTTAACATTTCAGCCCTGTCTTCTGCTATGTCACTCGAGCAGGCCATTTCTATGGAGCAGGGTACCCTAAGCATGCCATATGCCTGTGCATGGGTTCTGGATGCCCCACACAGGATTCACCCCGTCAGCAATGCCTCCAGCTCCTTCCATAGCCCCTATAATGCTGCTTACACGTCAGTCCCTCCTTCCTCTGTGTTCCTGCAGCACGTTGTACATTCTCTATGATATTTATCCTATGTCCTGATCATTTGGTTACAAACTGATGCCTTTCAATGAAATGTAGTATCCTCCAAAACAGGGGCCAGGCTTGAATCATCTGAAATCTCCAGTGTCCAGATTGATAACTTGTACAAAGTGACCATTCATTAAATTTATGTTAAATGAGTACCTGGCAGATTTTTTTTTTTTTTTTTACTGGTTATGAGGGATTCATCCTATCAGTTACCTTCTACATGGAAACAACTAACCATGAGGTCATAGTCCGAACACATGGTAACTAAAGGTAGATAATCTTGAGGCTGTAAATTTACCTAATAAATGCTGGAGTACAGATCTACTTATGATGACAACTATTTATGCCACATCTATACAAAGTACCAAACGTGAGGCCAGGCCACCTCTTTTTCCATAGCAGACAAAAGGCATGTTCCATGGTTAGTCAAGACAGCAGAAGGGATTTTTATTTCTTCAGTACAAGTCTACACTGAGCTGTCATTTCCTTTTCTTTTTATTTTCCTTTCTTCCTTTTTTTTTTTTTTTGAGCTATCATTCCTTATAATGACACACTCCTACTGTGTTTTGCAATTGATTTCTAATTTCTAACACTGAACATATGCTACTGCAGATAATCTCTTCTTCCAGGCTTATTTTACATGTGGCTTTTATTACACTTGGGTTATTATGAAAAATCGAAGGTCACTCCCTGACTTTTCACCATAATTTCTCTCAGTGATACATTTCAGATCACCCAGGGTTTTTGAATTATATATTGTGAAAATTTGGCAATAAATTTAAAAAGACAGCTAATGAGAGAAAACTATCTACTTGTCTCACATGCAGTAGATAATTTATTTAGGAAAGTCCCGTCTTTTCTGCAGCATAGCAAGACATGTGTTGGCTTGCTGAGCAATTCATTTCAAAATGAAAACAACGAATTACTTTTCTTTTGGCAATCCTATATTAAAACCCTACACTAATAAGAAACTTCTTTTTGTTACTTGGTAATTTTGAAATAGAACATTGCTGTAAACAAATTTTAACCTGTGCACCTCTAAACATAAAACACAGCCCTTTTCCCGGGTAGTGTTAAAAGCACTTCCTGTGGGCTGATTCTCATCTTCCAGGAAGCTTTCCCAGACCCGAGGCAGTGGATCTGGACACCAGTGGGCTCAGCCTTCAGTTCAAAACACCCCTGAAGAATGAAAAGGAGCCTTGGTCCCTCACTTTCCTGTGGCCTTTTGGAATAAGTTTCCCTGTCATTCCCAGGGAACTGGCACACCTGATCAGCAGACCCTTTGAGGTTCATCAGTGAGGTTGAGTTCAGATTTCCAAACCACCAAAGAGGCTCTCACTCACAACTACATAGGAGCAGCCCAAATGGCAGGCAGCTATGCCACCCACAAGTCAAATTCCTTCCTGTCGTCCCAGATCCATTTTGTAGCAACTGACAGCTTTCATTCTCATCACACAAATGACTGGTAAGTACTTGCCAAG